AAGAGTGTCCTTCACCTTGGAGGTTTATCCTTGCTAAAATAAGAGTCCCTTTCCTCAGGCAAATGATCATAGTCCGAACATGGCTAGATGACAAGTTCCAGCAAATCCAGACGGACAGCAATGAGGAGATCCGGCGCTTGTACATGGAGACTGAGAGTCGTATTGGACCAGATCTGACCATATTCGATGTGGACTACACGACCACGGTGCGCGTGTCCTCGGATCGCCTGGCCCTGCGCTCCCAGGGCAGCTTCAATACGGTCCGGGCGAATTGTTGCGTGTACGGCGGTCGCTGGATGTATGAGGTAATCGCTTTTACAGGGAGTGGGAGTAGGTATAAATAGGCGAATGAGTGGTGGATTCGTTCGGTGGTTGACCAGCGGTCAATGACTCGCGTTTCGGGGAGTATGGGTTGCTCCTGCGTACTAACAACTTGTCCAATTTTTCCAGATCCACCTGCACACCAAGGGCGTCATGCAAATCGGGTGGGCCTCCAACTCCTGCCAGTTCAACGAAAACAGCGGTGTGGGTGATACCAAGTGCAGCTATGGATATGATGGGAGCAAGCAGCAGATCTGGCATATATCCACCAAGAAGTAGGGTTTTTATTAAGAAAATTATGATTACTATTTAAAAATATATATTTATAATATTTAAATTTTTAGGTACGGCGATAAATGGCAGATTGGCGACGTTATTGGCGTGACCATCGATGTGGAGAAGGAGATAATAGAGTATTACCGAAATGGACGTTCAATGGGAGTGGCTTTTAATAAACTGGAGAAAGGCCCTGGCATTACCTTCTTCGCAGCCATCTCCCTGGGCTACACGCAGGGCGTCGAGGCGAACTTCGGGAATCGTCCGTTTATGTATCCAATACTGGGCTTCCAACCGCTCATGGCCCAGCCAATCCTTAAGTTGCGGCGAGCCAACCTGCTGATGAACTACTTAATCAACTTGGCTGGCATCTTCTCCAAGTACAATGCCCAAACTGCAACGGAATCAGCCAATGGCACAGAGGCCCGTGTTTCCACGAAGAAGACGGTGTACTGCATATTTGCCACCTTGCTGATTGAAAAGTTCACCAACGAGATATTCGATCCCTACATCATCGAGGACGTGCTGCTGAACAGGATCTCGTGCCTGACAACTCTGGCGGTGGAGAAGGAGAACCGGCACACCGTGCTACAGGGCTTGCTGTCGCTCTTCTGGAACTACATGGAGGGCGACGAGATCAAGTTTGTGCTGCGGAAGTTGGTCAACGCCCTGCTGGGTACCTTTACGCACACGATCCAGGGTCTGGACTATGAGAAGCATCGCCAGGCGCTGAACATGCTGCATTGCCTGTGCCTCCACGAGCAGACCAGAAAGTATCTGCTGGAGGCAAAGCTGTTCAAGAAGCACTGGTAAGCTTAAGTGATAAAATTTGGATAATGACTTTAACTAATTTCCCGTTTAGTCTCGCCTTTTTCCTTTACATCCATCCGCTGGAGTTCTACATCATGGAGGAGCTGCTGCCCGACACGATGGCCTGGACAGAGGGCATCGACGGGCCCAAGGATAAATATCTGAGTGTTGTGGAGAAGGTGCGCAAGGTCACGGAGCCACTGTATGCGGCCCAAAAGGACTTTCTCACCACGCTGCTGATCAACTCGGATGGAACGCGGGAGAGTCCGTCAAGCCGTTCCATTTTCTTGGCCAAGTTGCGTCGCTATGTCATCGATCTCAGCATGGAGCAAAGGGTAAGGCTACATATGATTGTTATCGTTATACTAAACGGTTATCTCCCCTTGCAGCCCTTCCATGCATTTTTCTTCATGCAGTCCAGCATCCAGCATCCACTGGATGCTCCTGTGGCCCTCGCCTTTGTCAGCATTCTTATTGATCAGACGCGGGCGATGTTCAAGGAGGAATTGCCTAGCAAGAATGTGGAAGTGAATAGCGATTATTTCATCGATGGTTCCTTTGACTACATGCACTTTGATCGTGTGGGAGGTGTGCTGTCCCATTTGAGAAAGGTCCACAGGGGCGATATTGATGCCAGACTAGGAGCAGATCGAACTCAGCGTATATATGATGATGATCGGCAAAATTTGCGGGTCAATGAAGTGGGTATGTATGGAATAGCAATAAATTGGCAACAAAATAATTACATTTCAATTACAGATACCACGCTTTATTTGCTGGGCGAGAACATCAACAACGTGGCGGTAGTGGGACACACTCAAGGCGCCAGCAACACCACCTACACGCACTTTCTCAACACACGGCCGAGCAGCAGCTCAGATTCCTCGCCGGGAAATGCGGATATGGAGGCCAGTCTCTCGGAGCTCCTTGATCTCTGCATCATTTTCTATTACTCGGCGGGTCACAAGTATATTGTCAAGGTGGCCACGGTGAGGGACGAGATAGCTGCTCTGAATGAAGTGCTCAAGGAGACGAAATTCTATCGCGAGGACATCGAACGTAAGCTGGGTGCGTTGGAGCAGCATGCCAATGTCTGCATGAACGAGAATCACCAGCATGTGATGGGCGAGCTGCGGTCCAAGTTCAGTCAGCGCCAGAATGTTTTTGCAGTGAGTTTTTCAGATGATTTTATTTTAAAATTTTTAAAATGTTATCTTTAATTTGCAGACACGTTCGATAGCTCTGTCCAGGAAGCAAATCTGGCTAAGAGGTGTGGCCTTGAATGGTCACAGGCGATCTTTGCTTATTTGGTTACTAGAGCGTATGCTAAGAACTTTGACGGTCAGTAAATCAAACTATATCCTCGACTTTTGTTAATCTCAATATGTATCTTATTTCAGAGTGCTTCAAACACGGGTCCCCTGTTCTCCTTTGTACCTGAGGTGTATGTGAATACACTGCCAATATTGTTAGATGCCGTAATGGACTTCAGCCACCATGATTTGAAAGCCCAGTTCGAGGCCTCAGATGCGGAATGCGGCGTCAACTCGGCAGCAGAGTTCCTGGGCATTCACTCGGCCGATCCGCGAATTGTGCTCGCCTCCTGCAAGGACTCGCTGCTGCAGGCTCTGGGCACTCTCACCTGCCACAAGTCCGGAGTGCGCGCCCTGGAACGAACCTCGAAGAGAGCGCAGTCGAGTTTGGTTCGAGCCCTACTGCGTCCCTATGAGAACCGAGCTTGGGGCCAGAGCAACTGGTTGCTTTTGCGCTTTTGGATGGGCGAGGGCTACGCCTACAAGGATTCCCGCCAGCCTTCTGTGTGGCAGGGCGGATCGCTGCCTCTCCACCAGGGACTGTGTCGCAGTCGCTCCAGGAACGAGACGCACACAGGATTGCTACACAACATCGCCCCCGCCAATCCTTCAAAGCATTTTCAACGTCTGATCGGCGCCAAGTTGATAGACGATGAGCCCTTCGCCACCGCATTCCTAAATTCAGTGTTAAGTCAGTTAAACTGGGCCTTTTCTGAATTTATTTTGCTGCTTCAGGAGGTAAGTTTTTGGCTTAAATCTTGCTATTAACTTAACTTATCTTCTCTGCTTAATTTCCAGATCCAAAACACCGCTCAGAGGCAAGAAAACACCCTGTTCGAGCCGAAGCAGCTAAAAATTTGCTCCATGTGCTTTGAGCTGACGGTCTCGCTGATGCGATGCCTCGAAATGGTCATCACTGCGGCACCTGAGGTCGTCACTGATGAATCTCGCCCGAACAGCGATCTCCTGCTGAATCGCATCTGCCAGCTGATAAGTCAGGTGCTTTCCCGCGTCACAGTGCCGCCGGGATGCTTTCAGTTTGTGGTGGACATGTGCTCGGCAGACCTGAATGCAGTTACCCACTATCCCATTGTTACCGCTGCCCTGGGCATTCTTCTAGCCCTGATGCAGGAGGAGATTGAGAGCGATATGAGGCCGCAGATTGTGACGCGGGTGTCCCGGGCTTTTCTCACCGATCCCAGCTTCCAGTTTGCCACGCTGGAGTTCGCACTGGGAGAGATACGAACACCGCTGCTGGAGCAGAAGAACATACCGCGGGGTAACTTTGATCCCTCTTCTAGGCCACACATTGATCCGCTGACCAACGATGTTCGTGTGCCTTTGCCCAACAACTCCAAGCGAATTCGGGCCGATCCGCCAATCCTGAAGTTTGCTCTTAATGATTGTGAGTATATTTATTATATATTTATTAAATAAGCAATGCTTCAATCCACTTTTCAGTTCCCTCTCACGTGTCCACCGAGGAAATCGACAACGTGCGCAGTCTCATCGAGAGTTTACGCGTGAAGCAGACGTTGCTTTCGGACATTACACTGCCATCGGAGGACTCACTCTGTCCGATCTGCTGCGCCAAGCCCATCACTGCCGTGTTCACGCCCTGCAAGCACCAGTCCTGCAGCGACTGCATCATGCAGCATATGATGAACTCCAAGGTCTGCTTCTACTGTAAGACCACCATCCAAACCATTGAGACGCTGGATGGTACGGTCATATATTCCAATGACGATGTTGTTCAGACGCCAATGGTCGAGAGGGCCTAAATGGAAACCCACCGAAAGCAATCGGGGATATATTCCTTCGAAAGCTGCCCAACCAAGTCTAGTCAATCCGAAAGACAAACTCCTACGCTTTAAGTGTATATATATACATATATTTGGGTACATTAACTTGTATCATTTCGTAAAATTTTTGTTTCAGTTGTATGCTTGCCATTATAAGTTCAGATGTGATATGCCAGAAGTGCAATGTAACGAGTTAAATATAACCAAAATTAATTATTAGACAGATTAAAAGTCGAAAATATTATAAGTAGCACAATATTTTGATCTAAGTTCATTTTGCCTGTTTAATTTGCCGTGTTTTAATATCCTCGTTTATGTCTCATTTCTCACAGTCGTATCTGCATTTAATTAAAAGGGGCAATAAAGTTTATGCATTTATTTTGAAAATATCCCTTGAAAGGTATAAATCTTAGTGGTTTATTGTTTTGAAACTGTCAACACAAGATCTCTTAATAATAATGGCTAAACAGCAACAATAAAAGTATTTTAAACGAATGTGTCTTTAGAGATGTCTCGAAAGTAAGTATTTATACTATTTACTGATCCTTTAGGTGTTTATAGCATTAACGGATCACAATCAAACAGTTAGTTGGACCATTAGTTAAACATTTAGAAAATACATAATTCTGAATTCTTTTGGAAATATTTATTTAGTATTCGTGTCCACATAAAATCTACTTAACCATTTAACTACTACAAATATATAGAGATTTTATAATACATATATGTATAATAGGATTAGTTTATTTTGTGAGCAAACTCTGCCTCAGGTGGTTTCATGAAAATGTCCTTTTGTAATTTGGTTTCCTGTTGGTATTGTCATATTTAGAGGTCAAGAAATTTGAAATCTTTTGATCAAAGCACACGAGTATAGAGGGTGCCTACAGTTTTTACAGATTCTTAGCGTATTTAGACACTGACTTGCCGAATTTTAAAGCCTGCTGGGTATTTATAACATTTAGGTACATTCCTTATCTATTCTAGTCTATACACTATGAGATTCAACAACTAACTAAATCCTAATAATTGCTGACTAGTTATCGTAACTACACCGAAAAGCACGCGGGAACATTGAGCAGAATCAGAGTCAGTATACATGATATGGATTTGGGGAGAGATGTGGCCCAGATCCTCTACAGAATCCCGCAGGCATTCGAGTGCATCCGGTGCGAGTGACGTCCGTTTCCGTGTCCAAAGCCACTGCAGCACTGATGGGTTATTCCGCCGCGCGGGGAGTGCTGGAAACTCTGGCTGTTGCTCATCTTGGGCTCCAGGTGATGGCAGCTGGGAGCATGGCTGTGCCTGGGGATCGAATGGTATATTTAATTAATTTAAAATATTTATAATTAAATCATTTTCACCCACCCATGACTGCAGAGCCCGGAGTCTGAGATGGAGCTGGGCATCAGACGCTGTTGCTGTGGCGGCGGTGGTGGCAGGAAGAGTGGACAACCACCGGCGGCCATGTCGCCGCCACCACCTCCGTCATGACCGAAGAGGGCCAGCCGCATGTTGGCCGCCTTCGTGGCCGACTGCGACTCTACTTCGTGGACCTCTTCGATCATCTTGTCCAGCTTTTCCATGGCCTTTGTTTGCTTGGCGGCCAGGAAGGCCTTGCGCGCCGCCTTTGACATGGAATGGGGTCTGGAAAAATCAATTGATTTAAGATCTTTATCATTATCTTTATACCCTTGCAGAGGGTATTATGATTACAGTCAGAAGTTTGCAACGCAATATAGACTAGCCATGTCCGTTCGTCTGTCCGTCTGTCCGTCCGTTTCTACGCAAACTAGTCTCTCAGTTTTTAAGCTATCGGGATAAAACTTACCCAAAAGTCTTCTTTCTATTGCAGGTAGTATAATATAATATACTATAATATAATATAATATAGTATAACTATATACAACTATATCTTATAGCTACCATAGGAAAGTCCGAAAAAAAAACGTTAAAAAAATCTAGCTTCGGTGTTTTTTGAACTATTAAATTCTACTCTTGGGAATGTTATTTTTTAAATATTTATGAATTCCAAATTATGAATTTTCGGCTGGCCAAAGCTAGCTTCATTCTTGTTATTTATAAAGCTCACCTAGCTGGCGCCGAGTTCGAGCGATGAGGAGGCGGCGAGTGCAGGGAAATGGATGAGACCGAATCCTTGGAGCCCGGCCGTTTGGGATCGCTTTTGCTGGTACTCGCCTGCACCACCTGCACTGCCTGCACTGGTGGCGACTTGGATCGCATGGGACACACCACGGCGGCAGTTGGAGTAGCTGCATCCAGGCTGCTGCTGTTGGAGAAGGTGATTTTCCTAATGAATGTGGAGTTGGCTAAAGGTTCTTTAACACTCCACTCAAAACTTACTTGAGCTTGGCTGCCTTGTCGCGATCCAAAGATGCACTGCTGCAGCTGGCCGTCTCTCTGGCCGGAGCCGTCGAAGGCGGTGTCAGTTGATCCATGGCGGCCAGTTCCTCCGGCGTAAACTTATCCGGATTACTGGGCCTCGGCTTTGGTGGCGCACTGCCAATCCGGAATGGAGGCGTCGGACTGAAGCCACAAGGGGGCGGATTGTTGTTGTTGTTGGCCAGGGAACCGCGAGAGATTTGCAGATCCTCGAGAAACTCCTCGGTGTCCAGGATGAGTGAGCCGAATATATCCGAGGGAGTGCGCATAAAAACGTGGCCAGTGGAATTGGAGCGGGATTCGCGGCGTTTTTCCTGATCCGGATAGGAGTAACCGGCATTGCCCCTCACGGGAGAATTGGCCACGCTGCGGCGAGCGACGTCCTTGAAGGTTACGGGTGAGTAGATGCGACTGTTGCGGTCATCTGGAGGTGCCCCTGCTCCAGCGGGAGCTCCTCCTCCGGCATCTGCGACTACCGCTGATCCCCCAGCTCCTTGGGCTCCAGTTAATCCCTCCGCCACCACCGCCTGATGATGAAGCGACATGTGAGCCGCTGCAGCGGCTGTAAGCACCAAACCGGAAATGCTGGACGAGGGGGCCACCACATCCACTGAAGGAACAGTAGCGGGAGGAATCGTAACGGAAACGGGAGCCAAGGGAGTCAACGGCTTGGCCACCGGTGGCATAATGGCCTTCGTCTTGGGAGTGGGTGTTGGCGGAGCCGGAGAGATCGGATGAACCTGCAGAGCCGCCGTCAGCTGGAGAGGCAACCTGTTCTCGCGCTCCTCCAACCAGTAAGTGCCCATGGTGCCCTTGCCCTTCACATCGATCTCCCCGCGCTCAAGGATCTTGTAGTTGGGACCGATAAGGATCTTTGTGGACTCCGAAATGTGCACCTTCATGGCAATGCTCGTGGACTCCATGCGAGAGGCGGTATTTACGGTATCACCAAAAAGGCAATAGCGGGGCATCTTTAGGCCCACAATGCCCGCCACCACGGCGCCCGAGTGGACACCCACACCTGGAGGGGATTACGAGATCATTAACGAATCACCTTAGGTAAACCCACTTACGTATCCTCAAGTGCTGGCCCGTCGAGGGATCCTTGAGATCGGTTATCGCATCCACCATATCCAGGGCCATATCACAGACTCGCTCGGCGTGATTGGCATCCTTGTCCGGGGCCCCCGCCACCACCATGTAAGCATCTCCAATGGTCTCCACCTGGGGTACTTATTTATTAAGACTGGGATACGTAATAGTGAAATAAATCCCACCTTGTACACCGAGTTCCGTTCCGTCAGCTTGTCGAAGATCGAGTACATGGCATTAAGCATGGACACCACCTCCATTGGAGTGATGCGACTGCAGATCTCCGTGAAGGTCACGATGTCGGAAAACAGAATGGAGACACTATCAAACATCTGCAGGGAAATAAAATAATGTTTGATAATAATATTTGAGATATTCAATTGATCCAAACGTACCTCACAAGTATCAATGGGATTCTCGCCCCGTCTTAGACGATCAGCAACCTGTTTGGGTATCATCTGATAAAGAAGTTCATCGGTTCTTCTCATCTCCTCATCCAGCTGAGAAATTTAGGAAACCATTTATCATAAATATTTTCAAGATTGTTTTTGTATTTACCAATCTCATCGACTCTTCGAGTTTCTTGGACTTTTGTTGTTCTTGATCCAGGGCCAATTTTAGTTCCACTGATTGTTGTGTACCCGCCAGCATAAGATCTCTACTAAAGTCGTGCATAGACAGATCGTTGATATAGAGGCCAGTTGTTATCAGTGAGGTGAGATCGGGCATTACGGGAGTACCCAGGAACATTATCATTCGCCAGTTTTCCATATAGACCATTTGACCTGTGAATAATATGGTTTTGTAAGGTAATTATTGATATTGAGATCCTATAACAATGGTCTATAACAATACCTTTACGAGCGACAGTTCAAAAAAGTATATTTTGTAAATAAGAAATTAAATTATAATATATTTTAAACCAAATTATATAATTAATTTTTATTTACCTTTTAATCTTAATGACTTTTCCGGTTCGCTGCCGTCCTCATGTTGAAGTAAATCCTCGTTTTGGACGTCAAATCTCTCGGTAACTGGGTCCACAGTGACCAGCTCAAATATGTTATTAGTACGATTGAGTATCTGATTGAATTTATAAAGGTTAAATGACATCCCAGCGATTAAACCCTTAAACTTACAGTTTGGAATTTGAATGCAATTAAAGGACGAACCAAGTCAAACCAGGCTGTAATTTTTTTGCCCAACAGTTCGGGTAAAATCACCATTAAAGAGTTTCCAATACTGCGCACCACCATGTCAGCACTAAATTTAATAAAAATAATTAAAATAAATAAAATTATTTAGTTAAATATTATTCTATTATTTTTTACATACCCAAATACCATGCAAAACGGAAAGATCTCGAACAGCACATGGGCACTGATGGGCAGATGCTTCTCCTCCCGCGTCATCGCCAAGGATGCCAGGGTAAATGCCCGATTATCGAAGGTCAATTGGAAGGTGACATGGACCGTGTCAAAGAGGATTTCCTCCCGAACCAGCTCGATGTGCATTTCCTTGTGATAAAAGTACCGCGCCACTTCCCTTATTTGACCCATCGTATAGTAGACGAACCCACGACGCTTGGAGCGGTAGTGCAGGGTCAGACCCTGCTTCGTCTCATTCTCGCAAATAAAGCTGGGTGCTCTCATCCGCGGATACGAAAACTTCAGGTACTCATGCAGGTTGTCCAGGCCATTGAGGAAGTCGCGCATGTGGCGACCCAGAACGGAAAGGACGCGATCGTAGCCATACTGACCCACGAAGCCAACGAAATAGACGCCCATCTGGTCCATGAACTCCCGCTCCGAAACGCCCAGAACCTTGGAATTAAAAAGATGATATACATTTTAGAGAAAAATAAACTTATTTTGCTAAAAGTTTTAACAAAAATTGATATTTATTTGCACATTTTATTTGTAAGTAATTGGATAAATATAGTCTATATATAAAGAAAAACGCTGACGATTTTTAAAATAAATAAGTATTTCTAAATTGTATTTATTAAATTTCTTATAAATATTTTTCCCACCTGTTGGGCCTTTTTGGCCAACTTCTGGAGCAGATTCTCGGGATAGACCTGGTGGACGCTGAACGAGGGCGAATCGATGCCAGCCTGTCGTCGGATGTCCTCCCATTTCTCCTCGCCGTACACAGACTTAATGTACTCGGAGAGATTCTCCAAGAGCAGTCCGTACATTTTGGCGCTGGGGGTGTGGCTTCCTTAGGCTTCACTTGGCTGACATTGATGGTTGGACCTGTTAATGGAGACCGGAATCAATTGATTGGCATTCAATTGGCTCAATGACTTAATTAAATGCACAGGAAGTGAGTTTAAATGACCAAACAAACAGAAATCAATCAAAGTGTCTTCACAAAAATATTGAAATAAATTCGAAAATCCTTGACATACATTTCCAACAGAAATTCTTTGCGTTCTTCCGCATTTTTAATGGCTTTTCTTTATGGCTTGACATACTTTTTAGCACAATTTATGGTCTTCCCCCGGTGTGAGTCTGCATTACACATACGCCCAGCTGGCTTCGGTCTGCCTGAAAAACTGTGCCAATTTCAGTGGGCCCACTTGAACCGCGAAATCACTCAGGAAATAATTGCCTGGTTTGGTTTCTATGGACCAGACTGTCGGCGCCTCCACTCCAGTCCAAATCATATTATTTTCGCATCATTCTGTTGATTCAGCGTGTCAACGAATCCATCCGTCTATTCATCCACGGAGGCAACTGTCTCGCCATGGCTTTCAACGCCACTTTGCTGGTCTAAACCAACAATTGCCAAGGTCTATGGGAAGTCTCGAAATGGCGGCACGTTTGCGGCATTAATTGCAGATTAAAGTCAGAAATGATAATTGTGAAATAATTAAAATGGAAATTAAATGATTGAGTCGAAACCAGTCCGAACTAATCTATATATCTTGTACTAATTAAATAATAGCATTGAATATTTACCGAACTTCCCCTTTTATTTTTACCAACTACACGATAAATTGGCCTTCAGTGCCAAAGAAAAAGCCATAAAGTACTTTCAATTAGTGGCAGCAATTACATTACATGCCGGTCTGTGAGTGCAGTATCTCATTAAATCATTCATTTATAATACATAGATGACTCTTGAGCGGAGGAGCTTGTGATTCTGCATTGCCCAGTTCATTATCCTAGGGCAGGACTCGACCTCGGCTAATTGCCGCCCTAGGATCTGTTAATTTAGCCAGCTCCAATTCAGTTGTGCTCACAATTTAGAGCCAAGGACAATTGCTATTTATTCGTCTTCCCCTTTGAATCTGGGCTAATTGAATTGCATTCGCATTCAAAGAAATGCACCTGGCTCTGGCCATGGCTTCTAAGAATAAATTGCACTCCGACACCTTGAGGCATAGGTATCTCTATCTGTATCTGTATCTGGCGGCACGGAGGCACGGCGCAAATGAATGGGATTCGGTGGCATATGTTTCCCCTTACGAATGCATTCCGCATATGTTCGTCTCAATTGGCAACTAAGCCAATTTGCCAACTGGAAATTGAGTCGTGCACTCGACCGCACTCCTTTGGGAAATTCCGAGCCGAAAGTAACCAACTAACAATTGCGGCCAAATTACAAGAAGTCTGCAGGATGATCACCCAAGGATGCAAGTCAAGTTGCAGGTGTCAATTTGTACAAGACCTCATTTGTGCCCTCTGCACCCAACCATAATTCACAGGGCGCCTTGTTTATGGCTTATTGCCATTTGTTGTGTCACAAGCCATTTCATGCGCTTTGAACATGGCCCATTATCCCTTCGCCCATAAATCCCCCGATGGCGAATCACGACTGAAATCATAAATTTATGCATATCAGGGCAATTTATTTGAATTTGTTGCTCTGCGTTTTTGCTCTGAAATTGTTGGGTTTTGATTACGTTTAAGTAGGATTTATTTCGCATTTTTTAGATCTTAAGTGTAAATATTATCCAACAATTTGTTTTACTTGGCAAATTGATATTAAATACCGACTTTCATATAAACAACGACAGGAAGAACTATAAATCTTGACGTTAACTTTGCCCAATAATATTATATTGTTCATTAGTGGTTCAGGTCATGTATTCATGGATTCATGTATTCATGGACTAGAATCCCGTTCTGAGAGTGACGGCAAAGTCCCAGTGAGGTATAACAAAATCAACAGACAGGAGGAGATTATTAAAACGGCCACAATTGCCAACGCACTTCCGATTAGGATCCGGATCATTATTCAGGTGGATTTTATAGCAAGAGGTCTGTATGATCCGACCAGTTTTTCCAAACTAACTTGTAAAATCACTTGATTCGATCAGAGGTTGCAACTCCAGGGCCAGGTAATTTATTTTTGTTCTTTAATTTTATCTATTTTATGGCTTTATTTTGATATTTAGATATATGTTCATATAAATTTTAATAATATATATGTTGGCAATAACAAAAAAATGGTTCAAAATATTTATACCACACAATGATGTGTGAACAACAGAAACGGAAAAAACTAAGCAAAAAAGACAGATATCTTAAAAAACAGCCAAAGTACAAGACATAAGAACAAGCTAAAAAAAATTGAGCAGCCCAAAATAAAAAACAAATGTCAGAATCAACGGCAACAGAAAAAAGGCTAAAAAATGTATGAAACTTTCGGTTTCGATCTTCTAAAATTTAGGCTTTCGGCAGACACCCCCATAAAAAATAATAATATAGAGAAACACTTGTGCCAAACATATCAAAACATTGTCCACTTTTGTGCTGTCATCTGTGGGCCAAATAGACTTGAGTAATCTTTATTCATATACTTGCTATAATTGTATATATACTTTTCTTTTTATTACATATTTGTTTTGGGGCTGTTAAATGATCGCGCTCGCTTCCCCTCCGTTTCATGAATGGAATGCAAAGCCAGAATAAATGGATTTTTGTGTGAATGTATTCATTTGTATACACTTAAAGTCAAAAATAATAAACAGGATGTACAAGTTGTATCTCCGTGACGTCAGCAGGCTATTGATAAACGAGTGACTTCTGCCCTCAAAAAGGGGAGGACAGATCGTATAATTTAAATGGTCACCTTACTAACTGCTAATGGCTTTATATACTTATTTTATTTTTAAAACCCAAAACTTTTAACCCAAAGTGTCAGCAGCAATGTTTCTGTACAAAGTACCAAAATATTCTTTCGTTTTCCTATTTTGCCTGTTTGTCTGGCCATCATCAATCCATCAGCAGCCAAATTTGCGACAGAATTCAAGGTTAGTTCTGTGCAATTTCCATAAAAATAGATTTAAATTCGCCTTAACTGCATTGACCCTTGTGTCCTTGGAGATTAAGAAGATGAAAGGAAATAGACACTAATTTATTTATATAAAAATATATGGGGCAAGCAAAATGTACCAAATAACTTGTGGACTTTTTTAAAATTTTCAATTTTCCAGTCCGAAGAAAAATTCGTCTGGCATTCAATTTTAATGAAATTATAAACAAAATGTGTTTTTCAGGCACATAGTATCTGAAAGCCAAATAAATTATGGAAGGCAAACCCCTTGCGGCATTGAGCAAATGTACACATATCTCTTTTCGAACATACATAAAGCCTGTATATATCTATCTTGTACACCCCTCATGTTCTGCAATTGTGGGGCTGCAGAAACAATTAATTTTCAAGTTCATTTGCGTGGGTCGATGTCGGTTTTTGGGGAGCAGAGCCGATCAGACCCTAGCTGGCCATAGGCTATAGATACGGATTTCAGCTGCAAAATCAGGCGAGAGCATATACACACGAATACATCGAGTACACATATTTATTTTTATATTTCAAGAAAAAATTCATTTGAAGGTGTCTGCTATATGTTAAGGTTAAACATCGTTATATATAGATTCGGCAAAACTATGTATTAGTGCCACAATATGTGTGTATTTTTATTCATATTGTATGTTAGACAGCATAGAGTGAGAAAAAGCTTTTCAGCTGAGCCATTAAAAACCATTAAGCTCTATTTATGAGTCCCCAGATGAGCTAAGTTGAAAAAGTTGTGAGCTCTAATTAAAAGGATAAGTTTGTTTTGAGAATAAAAAAAAATTGGATTGGAAAATCGAAAAAAGTTTACTTTTTTTGCCAGCTGGGAAATTGTACTACATTTATTATGAGGTTTTAAGAAGGCATTTAGTTAAAAATTATAGAGCATACAAAACAGTCACAAAAGATAAGGCTATGGTAATAAAACAAAAGGCTCAAATGAATTTATTTTCGCTAATTTGCTATGACTCAAAATTATATTTATATTACTTAATTTTTTGGTAGCTTTTCTGAGCTGGTGAGCCAAAACAAATTGCTCATACGCAGCGTTGACATTGTAGGATCCTCGCAGTTTGTTTTTCGTTCAGATGCGTTTCATTTCACTTGAGAAAACTATAATCGGCCTTCACATTGGAAAAGCAATTTATTACAGACCAAGTGCGAGAGTAATAAAATGTATATAAATTATTTGTTGGAATTGCATTCACTCAGTGTTTGACTTTCTGACAGCTAAAAGTCTGCTCCCCTCAACCCAAAATGAAATGCAGTTTATAATTAATTTGAGTATAAACTGCGCTATAAAATATGGGGAATTTGCGCAGAGCAAATTGTTCGACATTGTTTGCATTTGTGTCACTAAATAATGAGCTTCTATTCTGACCTCATTTCTCAAGAGGCCATAAAACGTATTTATTTAATATTATTCTTTTCTCGGATTTGCTTAACTGATTGACAAATACATATATGAAGCAAAAAAAATTCAATTGCCTTTTGAAATTAAACTTAAGGTTCCCTATTTGGGTAGTTTTTTCCTAGCCAACTTTTTGTATGTCCTTCATCGCAACATCAAAGAAATTTTGAAAAAAATGCTAATTGAGCTGCCAATAAACTAAAATTAAATTGAACAACTCGACAAAATCGAAAGTAAAATAAAAAGTTGCTCAATTCATCCTAAAGAGAAGCCAAAAAAGTGTGCCAGAAAGTAAAAGTTGAATCACATCACCGAAATCACTGATTGGGCGAAACAGAAAACCTTTGCCAGGTATTTCCCAATTTCCCGTGAGTTGTTTGTACAGTTTTTTGTTCGACTTTCGTGTTGGTTCATCAAACCTCATTCGCTTAATCAAAGTCAAGTTCAAGTTCAAGTTTAAATGACGCTGCAAGCTTGTTTAAGGGTGA